AACGAGTACCGTGCAGCATCTGTCGAAATTGGCTTCAGTTGCTATTTGAGGTTATCTCAAAAATCCAAGGATCTCGTCCTCGAGCTTATAACTTTACGTAGTAAAGGTAACGTGGTTAGTAGTCACGTGCAATGGAGTCAGGGTTTTCTGATCAATGCTACCATGAACTAAATAATTTAGAGCACGCAAGGCCACTGCACCTTCCGGCGCCATGTGTATCTGTAAAGTATAGACATCGGAGATCTCTAAGTGTTAGACGCTCTTTTTGAACGTGGATGAAATGCATTATGGGTGTAGGACGATTCAATTTGAGTACTTTTTAGATTAGATTAGATTACTAATGATAGATAGATTACTACTACTTAGATTAAATTACTAATATTAGATGTACTTTTTAGATTAGATTAATTATGGGAAGATCGTAGAAAATTCTTCATTTATATGAATTCTTGCAACAAATGTTTTTTTTAAATCTATGTCCATTTTAGACGTGCCGATATGTATAACGTACACGTATGAACTTATGCAACGTTCAATTATGCACTTTCAAAAGGGATCGTAAGCTCAACTCAAAGTGATCATACGTGATACACTAGGTATTGTATGTACTGTAACGTAATTCTTTTAACTTGACCCGACACCGATAGCAAAACATACGAGGACGAACTATCTTCGAGAACCAACCTACGTTACCTTCGGCCGTCCGCCCGTCGTTCGTGCATTCGCAAGCCAGGCGGCCGCCAGCCAATTCTTTTTTCACCGGGAACTGGCGAGCTGGTATGACCTGGGAGTTGGGGTGGAACAGGCCCAACTCCACCTAGAACGAGAGCTCTGACGGAACCTATCGGACGAGGCGATACCTTAACGGATCCTGTAGATTTTTGGGGACGCGTAAAATCGAGAAACGCAACTTTGGGTGCTGATCTTTGGGGGCGCGTAAAATCAGCAAACGCAACTGGAGGCACGAACGGAGCGGACGGTTACGGAAATGCACGGCCGCTCATGCTGCTAGGTTTGAGCTAGAGAGGGTCGGAGTAAGAGTCCGGCAAATAGTGCGAGAGACAGAGAGCGACGAACCGAGAACGTATCAGAACGAATCTTAACTATCTATCGAGATCCCTTCACCAATTAATAAATTGGGAGCACTCACCGGAGCTGGGGCAGCTAATCCGTGGAGGCCGTGAACTGCATCCCAAGGACACTCTGGTGGACACTGCACTCAAGCACTGCACTGCACTACACTTCCGGAACACTCACAGGAATTCATAGAATTGCCTGGATATCGCGAGAACAACGCGAGAACTGTACGAATCGAGAACTTGCTATACTTCAAGAAATCACGTCACAGTACGTATCGTGTCGTTTACGTGTTGTAGCTACATTTATGGCTGTTGCCTCCGATGCGAAAACGATAAAAGTTCAACGAATAGAATCATTTTTATGTACAATGGAACTGGTGCACTGAACGAGAATGCATTTTCGAGATGATGGACTGACAATTTATTCCGTGAAATTACAATACGTTTCTTCAATTTTCTCTTGGAAAACGTGTGTCTTGTACAATATTTCTTTATAAAGCGTACAATGAATCTTGAAGGTTGTATATTATGATTCTTTCAATAGTCATAACCCTAAAAACGAACCCACACTGAATGGGTCTTTTCACTAAAAAAAATTATTTTCCATCAATTCACAAAATTGAATCGCTAATAAATCCCTTTAAAAAATCCTCGAATTTTAATCCTAATTGTAAGCCGAAATTCATGCCGATAATTTTGAATACACGCATCCATTTTTAAACTAACGTAACGCAACAAAAGACTTACTGAGATAAATATAGGATGAATACGTAACAAGGGTAGCATATTGACACGAAACAATGTACCTAACAGGCAGAACCCGTGCGCGCTACTAACCACGGTCGAAATTACTCCAAACGTAATTTAACTAGCTATGCCTATATCCGATTAATGATTAAGTAATTGGACATTCATTCAACCCTTTAATTAAAGTCTATCGATCCATGTAATTAACGATAGCTTGTTCGACGATTCTTGATTAATTATCCAATAAAAATTCAGACTAGTCCTGCTATCCTACATGACAGCATTAAATGCTATGGATTATCACAAGACCGAAACTTGTTGCAGAAACAAAGCGCTCAATGAGATAAAGGAACTCTCGAATAATCCGATGATAACCGAGAATCCGGAACTTTGGAAAGGCCGAGCAGCGAGCGCTCTGTCGCAATACGAGATTGAACTTTACAAAAAATTCAAACACGGCATCACCGATCCTAACGATAAAACTTGGACCTTCTGGAACGCGGTTTTCTACTGTGGCACTATATACACGACTATCGGTAAGTAATTTTTCATGATCTTACAAAAATCTCAGACAAGGGAAATACCTCGAGATAGTTATTCAGAACCCAGATTTTCTCTGGGAGCATCCCTGGGGCACATGCTAGCTGGAGATAACACGCAAGAACGTAACTTCGTGTTAGATTAGATTAGACTAACTTAAGAAGTGCTACCTGAAGGATGCTACCTATATCTCGAGAAACCTAAATGATAATTATACTATAATTCTCGTATATATCAAAGCTGAGAAATTTTGTTGGTACGAGGAGCTGACTGTTCCGAATATATCTTTGTCACCCAACTACAGCTATTACTGTGGCTCGTCGAATTATTTTTGTCCTCCACGAGACGATTGCATTTACAGCTGGTGGAATTTCGGTGTATTATTTTTATTTTATTCTATATTTTATTTTTGTTTTATTCTTATATATGTATATATATATATATGTACACCGAAATATATATATATATATATATATATATATTTCGGTGCGAACATTTACGTTGTTTGGTAACAGTGACGTCGTTAACCAACGTCACGAAATTACGAAACCAGAAATACCAGTATAGGTGCCTTCAGAACTAAATACCTCATAGCACCGTAATTTTAGGTTAGTTTTACGTAGCGCGTTAATCCTTTATGTTTAACATAAATTTTCCGTGGTTCATTGATTTATTTATTTGTAGACTCTTGGACGTTGACCAACCCTACACTTACCAGTTTCAGACACTTATCCGTGTTACGAGATACTTTTTTAAATGAAATTAAAAATTTTTTTTTCCCTATCATGGGAGTGTATTCCCAATAATAGCCAGTAGGTACTCTCATTAGTTAATTACGTATGAGTGTGTTTTATCAGAATTACAATTTCACTTCTGTTTCCCCTAATACCACTCCATACACGTTTTTCATTGTCCATCCCCTTGTACGGAATTTGTGCAATTTCACGAAATGTGCAGATTAAATGCAGTTTTTAGTTACAAAGCGTATCACGTTAACCTGATTGATTTTTTTTTAAGGTCAATCGATAATTTTAATAATCGTTGGGCTTACATCAAATCGATCTGTTCATAATCTACTTTTTAGATTATTTGCACGGTCTAGTCATCGCCTATCAAAGACTATCAACAAACATCGCATTAGCCAACCGGTATAGTTTTAACGTTTAATAATAGCAGTGGGTTCGAGCAAATAAATAGAAACCGACTTTATTAAGGGTTCCTGTCCGTCAACGTTGTTTCCATTTTTTTTTCTATTCTCATCCGACTTTATCACAGTAACCGCGAACGAACTCTTTGACAGACTAAAGATTAAAGAAAACAATAAACCTGCCAAAATTACTGACAGTTCGACTCTAAATACGAAATCTACGTCTTCTCGTAATTTTTCATTTCATTGTATCACACGAGCTATTCAGGTATGCCAAAATCTTAGAAGAAAAAAAATCTACCCTTGCGTCTTGTTACATTAGCCATTTTATATTTCGGCTAAAGGTCAATATTTTTTAACCAACATTTCTTTTCGATTATAATATTAGATTAATGACATTGATTTACGACAAGCCGCTTCAGATTTTTCACGAATAGTTTGATCGCAATGTGATTGATGACTGTAAGCAATGTGAATCGGTATATGGTTGACAACGAACATATGTATCGCAATAGACGATATGAGCCTGCTGACGTTAATGGAATCGAGATATTTTAGTTATATCGGTAATGGAACGTTACTCTTTGTGGAAAATCATGTGACTAACTGGTCTAGGAATGTAAAGATGATCGTCGAAATTCTTCTGACTGCCGACACGCAAAGCCCACGCGTACTATTTTCAGTGGATGGACTTACGTAACGTGCGAAATTCTCGTACTGATATGTGACTGCGCTTGGGCGAAGACAATAGACGTCTTTTTTATACAATATTTAAACCACGTTTGGTATTCAAATTTGTGGATCGATAATACTTGCACGGAAGGTACTTAAAAAAATGTTAAGCACCATTTAATCTTTTACGCTTCCAAGAGTCGTATGAGTTACTAGCAGCTACACGTATATGTCGGTAGTAACGCGAAAGGGTATTCGAGTACTAAAACTGTGTAAAGCAATCGATAATACGAAGTCAGTCTCGCTGTCGTCTGTTCTCATCCAAATAACACATGTGTAAAAAACTCTGCCAAGTACGGAAGTGCTGTGAATTCCTCAAACAAAAAGTATTAAAATCGTATTATAAATGTCAAGTACATGAACCACTACATGTCTGCTTATTATATGATCTAGCACTAGCCCATCATTTTAATAGTATTTTCAAAATTTTCTATAACATTTCCGCTAATTTTTATATTACTACTTCTTCTCGTACCTAATTATGATTTAATGATCATTTAATAATTAATAAAATTTTAGGTGATTCCTTGTCGAGTACTATTTTGCGGATCGAAGTATGGCCGCTGCATTGTTTAGATTCACTTTTGACGTTTACTTTCTTGCAAAGGTATAAAAGTTGATTCAGTTTTTTTTTGGTTTTATAAATTTTTTGGTTTTAATAAAGTGGTTTATTTTCATCCTTATCGATATACATCCTTAAGTAATAATCCGCCTTAGAATAACTTAATCTATAATTATATATACTGTTGGTTTCTCATATGATGCGTCTCGCCAAAACTCCTTTATTATTTCTAGTTTTTATCAGGTATTTATACTATCGATTTTGTTTTTAAACTATGCTACGAATATAAATGTAAAAACTATGGTGTCTGTATAGAGTTGACTCGGATAAAGAGCCTCTGCGGCCCGTGCCCTTGTATAGTCGATTGCCTGTACTTGGCGCGAGACTTCACCGAGTCTTTGGACAATTTTCGCAAGTCGTTCGACCAAATATAGATCACTGTTTCGAGAAAGAGTCGATAGTCGAATGGTTGGTGTCTAAAAATAATTTTAAACCACAACAAAGACTGTATCACGTATTGGGTACAGCTGTGTTTGACATTCTCAAGAGAGCGAATACTGATATTTTAATAAACAATGCTCGACGTGACTCAAGACTGCAAGAAGCTAAAAGTATATGTAAAAGATATGCGAAGACACATAGGAAATATTTAGGAGTTTGGAAAGTTTGTCTCTCTCTTTGAATACACCTCCATAATCGGACTCATTGAGATTACATGTTAACTACGTCTACTGTGACTGAGGTAGAGAGGAAGGTAGCTGGTTAATTTATGAAAGAATAAACAGGCTTGGTTTCGAGGGCACAAAACTTATTTAATATTGTTTCAACTAGTTTTAAGTCTTCTGATTGTTTCCTTGTTGCATGGCAAGCTTATGCATAATTAATAACACGGTTGTCGGAGCACACTCTCTTTTCATTCATGAAACAGCGAATCAAGCTTGTCAGACTGATCTAGAGCAGTCAACTGTGATGTCCTTTCATCTTGTAACCGTATGTTCAGAGCAGTATATATATATGCGTCAACATTGACTTCAATACTCAATTTCCCTTTGTATTGGATACATCAAACGAGTAGAATAGCAATCAGTAAAATTGAGTAAAATTGAAAATGCCTGTATACATTTATATTCGATCGCAAGAAGTTATATTACGTTTGAATCTTATTCGACACAAAGGATGTAATGTTTATAAGAGGGATAACGTTCTCGGTTGAAAAGGCGTGGAACGTATATGTGTCCAGGAAACTCGAAGAAAGGGGTGACGCCGAGTTCTGCAGGGCGTCGGTATGCGGTATCATCCTGTGGTCGGTAGTGAAACAGCATGGACGCTCGGCGTCGTGGCGCCCCGTTCGATATCCGCAGCGCGCTGCGGCAAAACACCCGGTCGTTTTGGCCCGCGTGGTGGGAGCAGCCTCCGTCTTATTTCTGTCCGGTGTTCAACCGGGACGACGTGAGAGCCTGGGCATCCCCGTCGACATGGAAGACAGTTACACAGTGCATAGACGCCGAAAGGCGGCAGCAAGAAGACGCGAAAAGACTCCGGATCCGCCGAGAAGACTGGAGGATGTCTCGGACGACGAGGATGCACGTGCTAGAATGGAGAAAATGGTGGAGGATACGGAGAAGATGGAAGAGCTTGTGGAAAATGTGAATAAGGACAGTGATAAAATTGTTTTGGAAGAAGACAAGGCGAAGATGACACAGCTGGAGGACAAAGGCGCAGTGAAAAAGGACGAAGGAGGGGAGGCAAGTACGGCGAAGAAATCTAGCCAGCTCGTCGACAACGCGTCCAAAAATAGTGCGGAGACACGTGACAGTGACGTGAGGGTTGAGAAGGAAAATGGTGCGCGGTCGGTAAACCCTGAGAGTTATGGAAAAGATACGAATAAAGAGGAGGCAAAGGTTAGTCGTGTTTCAGATTCCAGGAAACAGGAAGGAGATGAAAGTGTTAAATCTCTCGATAACGTAACGGTCAGTGGACCTGCTGTCAAAATGGAGGGCAGGAATCAAAATGGCGAAACACGTGTCAAGAGAAGATCCAAGGATCGCAGTGAAAGACATAGTTACACTACTGATTCTAGTGACGGGGAGGAACGTAGTATGATAAATCTTAGAAGGAAAAAATCACCTGAAGGTCCAAAATCAAAAGTGTCTGTCGGAAAGAAACCATCCAGCAGATCCCGTATTGTTACGGATACGGACGATGACTTGAATACATCTAGAACCGAATCGTCGATCAATGAGAAATCGACTAGATCCGTTAAACGTGTGTCTAGTAAGCATATATATTCAACTGGGACTGATGACGATTCGAGTCCACGAAAAAATGAATCTCTCAACGAGAAAGGAAGCACGGAGGAATTTCAATCTAGGAGAAGAGAGGAAAGAGAAAAAACACGCGAAAGATCAGCTGCTCGTCACAGATATCCAAGTGACACAGACGAGGATATGAAACTCATGAAGAAAAGCGAAACCTTCCCGCAACAGTCTGTCGATAAAACGATTATTCGAAGATCCGCTTCCGAGATGAAGAAGCAGATTATTCCGTTGAGCGATGACAGCCTAATAGAGGATTTCGCGAAAGCGCAGGAGGAATATTTGCGTAGGGAACGAGGTATTCTAGATCCTGATCCTAGTGACGTGTTTTATAAAACAAACAAAGATTCCTCTGCGAGACGTAGAAAGACAAGTATAATACATACAGAGCCAGAAAAGGAAAAAATAGTTAAAGCCGTAGAATCAAAGAGATCCTGGTTTTCCTGGTTGCCGTTTTTCGGTAAGAAAGAAAAAATTGACGAACCCGTACCAGACACGAAAATAATCGAAAAAACTAAAAAGGAAATATCAAACGATGCGAAGAAAAAATCGAAAAAGGCAAACGAACGCGAACGAGTATCCGTCATGGAATATTTCAGGGCTCTGCGAGACATCGTGTCCGAGTTCAAAGCATTTGTAGAACAGAATCCTAAGGAGACGCAAAAATTGCGTAAATTACGTAATCGTTGCGTAGCTGATCTTATACTCGTTATAATTTATTGTGGTCTTGGCGCTTTTGTATTTCGTTTCACGGAGGGCGCTTTCGAGACGTTCTACAAGTGCGGCGTTAAAAGAGTCAAGAGAGACTTTCTTGACAGTCTCTGGAATTATAGTCACAATATGAGGGAGGACGACTGGAAAAGCATGGCTCGTAGGAAGCTTATGGAATTCGAGGAGCAACTTCACACAGCACACGAAGCCGGAGTACATAGTTACAGTGGACAAAAAAATTGGACTTTTTTGAATGCCGTGGTCTACTGTCTGACCGTCATAACAACAATTGGTGAGAGATAACAGAAAAGCAATTGACAATGATACACGAGACATTTAATTCAACGAGAGAACTTGTATAATTACTTTTCGGAATTCTTGATCAGACTTGACAGTTTAACCGTCGTCCTAGCCAAATTGCGCAGTCGTGAATTTCCGGTAGTTTCTATTGGCTAATTTCATATTCGGTTATCTCAGTCGGTCGCATACGATTTGCAAGTTTAATCTGGGTGGCTGAAGTCTTCTTATAGGTTTAGCTTCTTAACTTAAAATTTATTCCGTTTGGAGGATATCGGGTATGCTTATCGTAAGTTGGGCGCAACTTTGCCAGACTCGTAAACCTCTGGCTTTTCTTTAGGACAGACCCGTTGTTACTCAAGAAAGTGTCTCTTTACAATTAGCTGAACTCTATTCGAACTGTTGACAAGCGTGGAGTATTTGACAATTAAATTAATTTTTATTAATTAACACTTAGCTTTTAATTAAATAGTACACTGGAATTTATAATTATTTTATAAAAAAGATTAGGAATGGAGGTTCGCAGCTGGCAGTAATATCAAATGTCTGGCGCAAAATCATTTATGCTCGTACCATGCCTTTGATCTTTAACAGTCATAATTTATATTTCAAGATATAAGCAACACTGAGCTTGAACCGAAAAGTAATTTCATTTTTTTACATTAAATTCAAATGCGCAGAAACGACATTACTTCCGGTCCCCCTAATATTTGCATATCAAAAGGCGCGCGCTGTTGGAAATTAAACCGTAAGCTAAGAGGATAATTTGTTTGACGGTGACAATTTAGTCAAAGAAAGCTTGTACCACCTATACTCATTGAAGAACGCGAATTTGTTTTTCAAAAGAATCGAGGAATTTGTATTGAATTTTTGAATGTTTCTTTCATTTTAGGTTACGGCCATATCTCACCGAATACCACGACTGGCAAGGCCCTCACGATAGTTTATGCGATTTTTGGCATTCCAATTTTCCTGATAATATTGGCTGACTTTGGTAAACTTTTCACAAGAGGCATCAAGTTTCTCTGGGCTTTCGTAAGAAGAGTCTACTACACCGGAAGTTGCCGCAAAGTTCGTAGAACCGCACCCATGCAGGTAACTTTGATTAAATAATTAAATTAACTTTCAATTAATTAACAAAATCCGCGTTATTTGCTTTAAAAAACTTTTGGGAATTCTTTACAATAAAGTATACAAAATTTTAGGAGGTTATGAAAGGAGTTCAATTGGTATACGACTTCGCAACGTTCAGAAGGCCATCGCAAATGAATCCAGAAGAACTGGAGGAAATGCAAAGGCAACAAAATCAAGCGCAAACAGTTATAAATCTAGATGGCAACATGCCTCAGCCAGACACTCCAGGAACGCCGGCCATGTCGGCGTACGCAATCGACGACGAGTTCAATCTACCAATTTCGGTAGCCATATCTGTTTTGCTAGGATACATTTTCATCGGTGCCTCCGGTTACTACATGTGGGAGGATTGGAGCTTCTTTGAAAGTTTCTACTTTGTATTCATCTCCATGAGCACCATTGGATTTGGAGATTACGTACCACAGGTAAATTTAATTTTCGATGTAATACACATATCCAGCATAATAATTGGATTACAAAGGAAGGCCCTATATTCTTTTGTTGCGCCATTAAAGTTACTGCTAGTCGAGCCTCCCCTTTCCCACTTCTTTAATAAAAACCAGAATGACGTCACATATAATTTGTGCTAATTTTTTGAGTTGCCCTAGTTGCCCGATATTTAGCAGTAGCTATTTCCATTTGTAATCCCCGCATAGATGTTACCTACATAGTTTCCAAGTTTGCCGTAAATAATTTCGTTCTGCTTCCTTTTTTTCACGGTGGCGTAAAGATGGTAAGCTTTAAAAAATTCATTTCAAGCTGCCATAGACAATCGCTTTGATTGATTATTTTTGTCCCAAAAATGTCACTACTGCGAATGAATTACGTTTTATAAAATCACCAGTCGTAAGGCAAAAGGATTAACGAATTAATTGATTGATTTAGCATCCGATGTACATGATGGGTTCGATAGTGTACTTGCTCTTTGGCCTGGCCCTTACATCTATGTGCATCAATGTAGTTCAGGTGAGTATAATTAATATTTAGCAATTAGCAAAGCCTATCGTGTAACAAACGAGAATGATGCTATTAAACGGTTCACGAGTTGAGAAAAAAAATATTCTTGAAACAAAATACAAAATATATCCTTAAAAAGAAATAAGATATCTATCGTTATTTGACACTCTGCCTCTTAAAGCTTTATAGAAGCAGCAAGTCATTAATTTTCTTTTTTTGAAAAACACAACGTAGTAAACAGTTACTCCAAATATATTTTCTTAGAGGGAAGGATAATGTTACGTTAAACATATCTCGTTTCTAATGAATCTTAGGTAGGGATGAAATCACGTATTCCTGTAGCTTTAAAAATAAGTGGATGTAGCATGGAAGTGAAAGAGAGTATCTACTCAGCGGGATTAGTATTTAGAAAGAAAAAAAACTTTATATTCTTCGTGTAAGAAATTAAAAATCTTATAATTGATATATAATATAATTCGAATGGTTTAATAATGTTATAATGTATTCTTACATATCTCTTCTTTTGCTTTCTTTGTGCCAGGTTATGCTCTCGGACTCTTTCAAGCAAGCCAGTCAAAAAATTGGAGCTACCATAGGGTTCGAGGTCGTCGAAGATGATGGTTCTGTGCAACCGGCAGTACCAGATCCTGTAGAATTAGCCGACGTACACGTTACCGTTAAAGAGTCAAACAGTCAAGAAAAAGTTGCTCCAAAGGCACAGCAAGAAAACGTCGAATTATAAAGCAAAGCTTATTTGGCATCTATCATTGATCCATTGAATATCGTACAATGGAGAATGAAAGTGATAAAAATGTACACGAATACTCCTCGAAAGTTCGTGTTTACTAGTACAGTACCAGTTCCGATCTTGCGTTGAATCTCTTCACGCTTTACGTATTTACACACGAATTTTTACTTGACACTCTCCTCCACATTATACACGCATGCAGAAAGCAGCAGGCAAGCCAGTCAAGACGGAACGAAGCATCGTAGGGCATTTTTACATTGATTTATTTGATTCTTTTTTTTTCGTAATTGTATAATGCCCTTTTGGTGCTAAGTACTTATTCCTATCAGCTCAAGCAATGTCGCACTGACCGCCGCGCTTGCATGATAAAAATCAACGCGAGATACAAAAGAAATACTCATTCCTTCTTGGAAATTCTTTTTAAACGTACACGTGTAGAGTCTCGATTTCATTTCGTATAGGGGATAACTGGAGAAGCTTATAAAAAAGATGGTACGTGAGGAGCGACTAAGAATGAATTGTTACGCTGACAAACATTTGAAATATTCTGGACGCCTGTTGAAATAACGTTTCTGTAGTGTATCGAGGGAAACAGATAAAATATGACGCGAACTTTTTGCGAAATCAAAGCTACTCTTGCCAAATACACTTCATAAAGAACTTATGAGATATTTTTCGTAGTTTAATGTCTATTGACAATAAATTTTAAGCGATTGTGGCGAGCCGTGTATAATTTATAGGACTTAGCTGGTTTTACGCAATAGTTTTAGCAGTTTTATTCGCATTTTTTTCCAATTCACTATTGCTTTAACTTTTCTGAACGACAAAATCGGTATGGGTTTTGGATGGTTTCCAGGATTGACAATGAACGAGGTGGAAAAAATGTAGGAAATGTGGATTTTAATAAGATAATAATGACTTTGAAGATGCCAAGATTTAGGAAAGTCAAGGACTGGCAAATTTATAATGCACAAAGCGAAAGTATAATTGATCCATATCAGACCCACTATCAATTCCTATTATTTTTTGAGTTCCAGTTGTATTCTCAACTTATTTTTAAGGAAGCCTACGATTTCGTCGAGCGATTACTGCTGACGCATTCGCATCGGGAGATAAAAGAAACTCGTGCCTTTTTACAAATGTAAAACTATATTGTTTACGATTTTATCTAGTCCTTATTGCGAGAATTCGTGCATGTGATAAATTCGAATGGCTTTATCCACTTTGCGTGGTAGAAAGTCAAGTCGAAACTCTTCAGTCGCCAGCCTGGCAGGAAGGGAGGGATGATATAGTTTTTCTTCCTAAGTATACTGTATACAGTAAATGTACGCGTATGATAATTTTGCCGAAAAATTATATGATAATTAAAGTATAAGTAAGGGCGTTTACTTATTGTATAAATTTATTATTATTATTTTAAATTTGTTTATGAATAAATTAAAAACGTAACAAGCAAAGTATTATTCATAGAAAATTTGTCTCATCCCTTTCATTCTTCTCGCTCCTATCCAACATTGAAATTATTTTGAAAATCGTGCGCTGTATTTTGTAAACTACGTCAGCGCCTCTACGTGGAGGAATCAAAATTAGCGAAATTATTCAATACTGACGTATGAGAACTACCAGAGATGGAACCACTGACGGAATCGAACTTCTGTGACGTGTATAGAACAGTGCTAGCCAGTGGTAGCAGACAAGAGAAGCCAAGATGGCCGTAGGATGACAACAGTTTGCTGTCAGTTTAGAGAAAGCTTGACAGATACGTGAAAACTAAGGGAAAATGTCTCACGTTCAGTACGTGGATGAGTTGGTCAAGGAATATTTACTCTTCAGGGGTTTTAGTCAGACCCTGAGGGCCTTCGACAATGATCTGAAAGCCGAAAAAGAGAAAGGCTTTAGGGTGAGAAGATGAGAAGACACAAAACACTTTAACCCAATGTCAATAAAAACATGAGTTTTACTTTCTGATATTTTTTTCATTTTTCTCAGGCATACTTGCACAATAGAATTTCTATTCTGCACGGCAATCCAAGTTTAAGATACAAATTTATTATTGTTTGCTTTAATATTTTTAAATTCTGTTATTGTATAATAAAGTTTTATTATTTAATTGGTAGTTAATTATTTCATCCATTAGGTCGACAAGATTGTGGATCAGCTTATGCAATATATTTACAATTATGATTTGACATCTTTGAGAGAACTCTGGGGTCACCTCGATACGAGAATGTTTAGTCGATTGGAAAGTCACTTTGCATCTGGTATAAGAAAACTTGAAAATGCAGTGCTGAAGATGTATTTAGTAAATGCAGCTGTAAACAACAAACAAGATCGTATTCAAGAATTTTTTACAAAAATGGCTCCAGAGTTACAGGGACATTCAGAATGGAAGGAATGGTTTGGTATGTATGAGCATTTCTATAAAATTATTTACATTAGTACAGTGGAATTTTAATGCATTTTCTTATATCTCATTTCATGTTTGCAGCATTGCCCTTTGTAAAAAATCCTGAGGATAATCCTATATACTCTGTACACTTCAGTAGACAGTGGCAGGATACCATGTTGGTTTCCCTGCATAATTTTCTTGCGACGATCTTCCAAGTAGGTGGAAGGTAGTTTATGCTATCTAAGTTGAATTGATTTAAAGTTTGCTCCATAACAAAAATGAGTACTGATCTTTCAGTGCATGCCACAACCAACTTTACTTACTATAGACGAGGATACTAATAGGTTGAAGCGATTACAAGAAGAAAATGAAGTATTAAAACAAAGACTCAGTGAACCTGTCAAGGTAGAGACTGTATCTGACGTAAACCCAGGACCAACACCGCAATATCCTCCAATCATGGACGACTTTTATATCATTGCTCAGTACGTATGGCAGAGTTTGTAATAGCTTTCTGTTACAATCTAATTTAATTCAATGTTTCATTCCATTTATTCCCTTACACTAATACAGAGAATCTCCATTGATGGAAAATCCAAAAACTCTAAAAAGTCTCATAAGAAATATAGGTGGTGGTTCGAGTCCCATCTTAAGCCGAAAACCTGTCACAAATATAAAAAAGCAGGTAGACCCTGAGATTGCACCTACCAAAAGAACCAATACCAAGGGAAGATTGAATTCCTTGAGCAAATCTGATGCTGTGGCCAAAAGGAGTATCAGCTGTGATTCAAGACTCACTAGTTCTAGGAAAAGAGACTCTTCTATCGATACTGCATTTGAAAGAAAAACTAAAGACAAAATTGATACTGGTTATATACTTTTGAGTCAGGTGTAGTATAATTTATACCCTTCTGTCTTCTTTGATACACGACATCCCACCTTTTTTATACCAATTGTATACTATTAATGAAAATCATACTATTCCTAGGAGGAATACACAGAGCACAAGACATCAATAATCCAGTGTAAAAGTAATGCAAGTGGATCCTACGTAGCAACTGGTGATGCAGATGGTATAATAAAAATATGGACTCCGATACCTTCACCTAAGTAATTATCAGAACTGAAATTTTCATCTTATCTTACTGTTTTGCTTATTATACTAATTTCATTGTTTAATGCCTCAATATAGAACAGTGGCAACATTTACTTCAACAACAGCAAATTCGAATAAAGCTGTAACAGCTCTCGATTGGATATCAAAAAATGAACGATACTTTCTTCACGGCGATAACAACGGCCTTATCCAACTGCACGATACTCGAGATTGCAAAACGCTTTGGGAAATTCAAAATGAAGGCTCTCGCATAGTAACACTATTATGTAATCCAGCAGAGTCAACATTCGTCTGTTCCCTATCTGATTCTAATGAGGGAAAATTACTTCTCTATGATATAAAGACAAAAAAACTCGAGAGAACTTTACCAATGGAACAAAACGTAACTGCACTCTGCTGCACGTACAATCACAATGGACAACTTCTAATCACTGGCCTTTCTAATGGGAATATTCTCATTCATGATCTTAGACGAAACGAGATAATAGACAATCTAAGTTGTCATTCCAGTCCTGTTATTGATATCGAATTGATTAATGATTATACGAATATTTGTGCTCAGAGCGAGGATGGAAAATTGTGCCAAAGAAGTTTGAATCACACTAGCAAAACTATATGGGAGACTAAAGTTAAGATTGAGAAGAATGCTGTGCATGGTAAACTCTTCACTTTCGATCAGAGCGGTAGTCACATGTTACTTTGTACGCAGAGTGGAGGAAATATTTATAAGGTAACGATCGCAATACTTTCCAATGGTAAGCAGTATTATTTAACATTCATTAACATTTAATCATTTGTATACAGATGCCACCAGGCATGCAAGGCAAGGTTTTAGAACTAGGAGGACATAAAGGTACGCTATGCTGCGACTGGTCCACTGCCAATCAATCCGGAACCTGTATCACTGGTGGAGCAGAGGGAAAGGCACGGGTTTCCACGCTACTTTCACCATGATACAAAAATAAAATTAGTCTTTGTATAAATTCATAGCGTTAGCAAAATGAGTCCTCGCGCATTGCTACACACTAAATCGACTTTGAGACGAAAGGATGTTGATTCAGTTACCCGGAACTGAATCTTCCACGGGATTCACACTGGCTCAGATGGTATATGTAGATATTGCGTTTTTACGACCATACCCTGGGCGGTTTTGGAGGAGAGTATTAATACTTTAGTAGCTGAATGATTTTCAGGTTAACTTATGTTTTTCAAAACGTTGACACTTCCAACGATGCGTCCAAATATTTTAGCGAATCGTACAATAAATACCAAAGTATGGTCAATAAGAACGTTAGTAAATAAGGATGCTTGAAAACCTGATTTACCAGGGAAGGAATTCAAGCAAATCTCTAAGTAAACTAATCATGGATTTAAAATAATAGAGAAGGATTAAAGAAAAAGTGATTATTCGAATGTAGGAAAAAGGCTGGTGGAGTTTTTAGAAAAAATTATTGAATAACGATTGGAGTAATACTCTTGTACATTTCCTGAATTGGCTTATCTCACAAATCTATATAATATGGAATAGAGAAACTTTACTGTAGCTTAAGAAGCATAATAAAAACAGAGCGTGTAGATGATTGTCGACGACAGAAATGATGAATTTGTTTTAATATACTCTTGTATTGTACCTTTAGATAGATTATCATTCTATTAAGTGTATATTAAGTATATCTAGGCATTTTGTAAATTTAATATATATATATATATGACAGTTTTTTTTAAATGAATAATTCGTTCCTAGTAGAATTATTTCACGGTAATCATTATCGAATATAGTTTCCCTTTCGCAGAGTCAATGAAATTACCCGTTCCAAAGCGTGCCTGCCGTAACGGAACACAAAAATATATAATAATGTAATAATCGTGGCGATTAAATACCTTGAACTACATCTGAATTTTTCGTCATTAGGTAGTCCTACCTTTTTGATTAGTTCCTTAGCAGCTAAGGAGTTTTGGATGCTGGCGGCGCATAGAAGAGCGATGAAATGGTCCTGAGATATCCAGTTGTGGTGACCAGTACCTTCTGAGAGCTTCATTTATTTCTGCAGGCGTTATGGCTTTTGTAATAACACCCTATTAGAGAAAAATTATGTAAAGTAATGAAATTTTGAAAATGCAGAAGATCAATGATTTTTATATTGTAAGATATGACTGACCTTATTATGTTGATAGGGTTTATACGTATATGGATTGAAGTAACTCAATCTGAGTCTGTCTATGGCATCACCATGAATTTTGTTTTGATCCTGTCGTACTATGAAAGCAAGGTCAACTATTTGGGCGACTGTTTCATATGCCAGGTATCCTAGTACTACATATCCTTGCTTGGATATATTTATGTCACCTGTATATTTAAACGAAATTGTGTAAGAGATATGATACATACATGATAGAAATATGATATATATGATTATCGGAATAGTAATAATACCATCGGAACAAACCCAATCACTGAACTTGTGACGGTTGCTATTGGCAAATGATACTCGTCTTGCTTTACTGAATTCAATATATCGTGTTTCGTCCATTTTACGTGTCATCATTTCTGCACGAAGAGATCTGTTTTGCTTCACGTAATCAACTGTTGAACCACTTTTGAGTAATTCACCATTGACATCAATGAGACTGACAAAGTTGTGATACGATTTCTTAGCAACTTTATACTTATCAAAATTGTCACTTTCTAGTGCACTTTCAATTGGATCTGTATCAATTGTCTTTTTCATTGTTGCTTTAAAATCTTTGAGTTCTGAAACGTAATATTTGATTTTAAAGACCTTCTTTGAGGATATTTGTAGAACATATAAAAATTAGGAAGTGTATAGCTTACCAAGATATTTTATAAGACGTTGTAACTTGACTTTGTCTTTCCTCAAGAGAAATATAAAATCTTCTGCAGTTACTGTGTGACTACCTCTTCTATCAGCACCTTCGTAAGCTTTATTAACTATTGTTCTCATTTGCTGCAAAACTACATCCTCAATAATCTTTGCTGATTCTATTAATGGCTCGGAACAGTCACCAAAACCATGCATCATCTGTCGTATCTCTGTAGTGATTTAAATTAAAAAACCTTTAATGACATCTCATGTAAACACAAATCTAACCAAATAAATTGATACATACCAGAAGTGTAATAAATCTGTTCATTTTTGGAATCACAGGATGCTGTAGCTGGTTTCGGATATAAATCACTCATATTATCTTAATGTTTAAAATAGTATTGCAATGTCAACTACAAAATGAAGCCTCACAATTCTTACATCCATACAATGCAAATTACAAACTTTCAAGTTTGATCAAAACGTCAGATAATTCACTGTAAATCGCACGTTTTTGACGTGAAGACGTCTAGTACAACAATGAAGAAAGTACCCTTGTTTTTATTAAAAATATAACTATAAATGTTCCCTTGACAATGATAAATTTATTTTTTCACGACGTAAGTATTCTGTACAATATAAAAACTTTGTCCTAAACGTAACGATGTCATTTTAATTTACAGGTTAAAGGATATTGAGTATGGATGCCAAAATATTCAAATCAATTGTATGTAATGATACAGAAATGATAAAAGAAATCGAGGACTCTGAAGTATGGACGAGATTATCAAACGAATCAGAATTTCCTCTTATAGACAATCATGTTCTAAATATATTTTGTCAATCTGTATCTAATCTACTTTCTTACAAAGTATCGGAGGCAGCAACCCAGCGATATTTAGTGAGAATACATTTAATCGTATGTTATTTCATATTTACCTGTTTAGTACATAATATTGGTGAAGTAAAAAATAATAGTATTCATTTATATAGCGAATGCTGCAAGAATGGAGCCACGTCACAGTACCTTTGCCGTCTCTTCACATATTCACAGATGGGTGTAAAATGCTAAAATTTGTGGAGAAAGTATCAAAGAAATATCTCACAGATGATTTCTTGGGTACGGATGCTCCTGGCGAGACACTAATATGTCTGGCTCGTGCATTCTTCTGCCTTGGAATGAGAAATCCTTGCTTTTTACCACAATTAGATTTCATCTTAGAAAGGATAACACATCTAGAACCAAGCGAAGAGATAAACTTGCTGCTAGATTCTATTATGAAGAATAAAGAGCAATTGCTGTTGAAACCAGCGACTATGGATCGCATATATATATTAAAAAGAGTTACACTCATTGAGAAACCGCTTATTGAGAATTTTGAGTCCATTTGTTCAAAAATAAATACTGTAAATAGAGAAAATATGTGTGTAACATTACAGAACGCAACTTCAATAAGAGAAGTACTCGATCGAATGATAGATTCACCTCAAGTATTTAGAATAGCATCGAATGTTCTGAAAGAAATGCTTGTGACTTTAAATTATTCTTCAATAGTGATAGACTTTATACAATCTATCCTAGAACTGATGATAGTGCAGTGTGACAAGTGTAAAAAAAGTGTTCTGGACCTTTATCCTAGAGACTTGCAATCATGTATTATACTATTGAGAATAGATCCACGTTATCACTCTGAGAATTCAAAAAAATATACATTAGAGTTATTGGAGCACGTACACACAGGAAATAAGGACGACGCGTTAATATTGCTTTCCCATTTTCCAGCATGGCTCGAAATATTTTCGACATACCTTTCTGATATTACCGGACGGTAGTTTATTATCCCGACATTATCGAGGACATTGGAAATATATACGAAGAAATAATATAAAATATCGATCGACTAGAATTGGATTTTCGATATACACGATAAAACCGCAATACCTAAAATCATTTCCCTTTATTTTATTTCCATTCGTTACTTCAAATACATTAAGCAGCATCGCCGTCATGTACGTAATGTGCAACGATAAGAATTAAGAATCTTATGCGTACATATACACTTAACATTTTTATTTAGCAAATGGCTCAGGCCCGTAAAAGCCGTCGCCCAATTTTTAATTTCCTCTGTGCTGCCAAAGCAGAAGAAATAAAGCGTGTTTTCCTAGTGTTTCTCTCAATTTATCTCTTCCTAACGTGCTATGTGTTTGTGTTTCAAACTTTTCTTTCTTACTCCTCCTCCACCTCCAATTCTTTTTCAACTTTCCCACACCACTACCATTTCGAAATAATCGCACGGCGCTCTCATATAAGTTCCTCGCAAAGTGCAAGGTAATGTAATTCAAAGTCGGACAACTAATCCTATAATATGGCAGTGACGTGCTATACTTTTTTTGTTCTTCTCTCCTTCTCTTCCGCCATCTACAATCTGTTCTCACATCCTTGAATAAGTATCTAACTATGCGACACCCTATATTTTTGATTAAACCATTCCCATTTGATAAGATAATTACTCCATCCTTAAACGTTAATTCCTGATCAACATGGAGATTGTATAAAAGCAGCCGTATAGTCTATCCTAAAGAGATCGAAGACGCGCGTGTACAAATTTAACGAGGAAGATAGTACGACCATTGTTCTTTGTATATATATTTTTCATTACGCCATTTTGTGGTCTTTTAACGGACCGTCCCGCAACTCATTGGCAGCGCACCGACAAGGGAAGATACGGCCGCTCGGACTCCTTTTTCTTTTTTGTTTTTGTTTTTAATCATATTAAATGCTACAAATGCATCGACCTGGAAACGGCGCGAACACTACGAGATCTCCAGGATTCAGCGATCCTGTAATATACATATATATATTGAATTTTTATCGCTACCTTCCACCCGTCGCACCGAATGATAACACGTACACGCGTATAAAATTCCTCGAAATCACCAAACGCCACGAAATGAAATAGCGAACTGAATTATCAAAGAGAAACATCTTTATTGAACCATGCTAGCTACACAGCACGCGTGTAATTGTTTCAGAACAGGATACAGTTAACGGAATTCTGCGAGTGCTGATTGCGTGCTTTCCATTGCGCCTTAAACACGTAACGAACCGCCTGAATCGTTAGTCGTAAGAGTCACGCAGGCTCGAAGTGTGGACAAAAAAAAATGAAAATGTGGAAAAAAACAAACTGGGGAATTTGGAAAAAAAAATAGTCAAACCGTCAAGCCAACTCGTCTCTCCCGCCGAACATGAACAACAATGCATTATTACCATTGAACACATACAAAACTTAACCTATAAACACATTACCGATAATTAAAAAAAAAAAAAAATTGAAATGCTAAAAATGCTAATAAATATGAACACTTCTTTAACTGCGCATAAACTCAGTGTACTCTCGAATTGCTCATATGTCTCTGACGGAGTGAAAACAGCGACAGGTAAGAAGAAAGTGAAATTTGAATAGAAATATAGTGAAAAATAGCAATCACGCGACTCTCTTTACAGCGCACCGATTATTCTCTTGACAACTCAAAAATGAACTTAGAGCGTGACAGCGCATCCGTCATTGCGAGCTATACGAGCCAATGAACGTAAACAGCCAGTACAGGATATAATTGAATTAAACAGTGTTCACATCGAGTATTAGATAATCCATATTATCCTGTACTCTTAGCCAATTGCTGAGAGAATAATTGACTTAGACTTGAATAGGCTCGAGTCGATTCGCTTGAATGTTATCCGTAGCGCCGGTGATGACGGTGGCGTCCGGCAAGTGGGTGTCGCTGGCAACGGAAATGGCATTAACGGAAGCTGTAGTAGGATCAGGCCTTGGAGATGTTTCTGGCTGGGATATCGGTGACGGGGCCGAGATCGATTGGTCAGGGGTCAGGATGTCAACAGGACTTGCAGAGGATTCCATTTGACGGGGCAGGGACTTGCGTCTCTTGAGGGTATCACGATGGCGTTGGTCCCCTTGTCGCTTTTCCGTTTTGCCTTTGGAACTGGGACTCTTCGATCGAGGGACCTGCCGGATCCATATCAATCAATCAATCAGTCGATCCTTCGAATTTCTTTAAAATTTTTTGTTGTATTTCACGCTTTCGTAGAAACTTAATGCACCAGCCATCGAGAATAAGAGAGACGCGCGAAGAGTCGTTTCATTTTAAAATGGCGTCAACCGGCTAACAAGCCGAAGCGAACTAATTTAGCGATACGTGTCAGTGGAAAATGGAAGACGCGACATGAATGACATATAATTTATATAATTTTTTTTTTCTTTTCCGTCTTTTCGTCACTTTATGTCGTCTGCCATTGACCACCTGTCCCTACCACCGCCACTGGCAGTATCGAGTATTTCATTTGGATACCATAATCATGGCCGTTGGCTCGCAATCGCTTATCGAGGATCCAAAAGTCACGACTAAATTTTGGATTCGACGTTGACGCTATAAACAGTGTACTACAAGATGGAGGGATATAATGAATTATTACGTGGATAACAATAGTGCGCTCAAATTGTAACTCGGAACTCGAGTAAATTACTATTAACTATTATAGATTACGAATTTCTGTGTCAAAGAAGTTTCACTGCTTTATTGCACCGAATAAGAAAAGGCAAAGAAGAAGAATCGACTTTTTTTTTTCGGGCATCGAAATTTACTCCTCTTTACGCATAGAGAGATATCACGTATGCCACTCGTCCTCATTTTTATATAAATATATATATAAACACATTTCGTATATATATATATATATATATATATACACACATATATATATACATATAATATATCTTCTCGTGCGCATGTGAGAAAGCCGGGTGAAAGTATAGACAGTAGAAATGTTATAAAATGAAATGGTCTGTTACCTTGTAAAACGTGTTACACATAACATCGAGGCAATGAATTATCGTTTTCTTATTTTTTTTTTAATTTTTCTTTTTCTATCGTTTCGATATACGTGTTTACCAAAAGTGAGCCGTACTGCTTTTTTTGCATTTTCGTCATTGTTTTCTCATGTGTCGTTACTTTGTTTCCTCTCGAACACACAATTATTAGGTGGACAGCGATTTTTTTTTGTTTTTGCGTAATGCGACTCTCCCAAGTGCCACTGAATATTTTTTTCGATAATTTTTTTTTTCTTTTTCTCTCTAACTCTCTCTCTCTCTCTCTCTCTTGTTTCTTGCAGCCTGTCAGCCATACAATTTCTAACAGACATATATATACACACACACGCGCACACCCACGCACCAGGCAAACGTACAGTAACGTATATACATGCACCTATGTGTATATATACATACAAATCTGTTGTTTCTTTTTGTAACTATTTCTCTTAAGCGCGAACGTCAGGTCGTGCGCAGGCGCAAACGGCGTAGCTCAAAAATCCATTTTCGAAAATCAACACGTACCTCCCGAAACCGGAACACGAGCTTGAATAAGGGTGGTACCAATAGCGTGTGCCCGGCACGACCTGTCGCCTTTGAAAAACGTTTTTCCTTTTTTAATAATAATAATAATAATAAAATATTAGAAAGTACGGCAAAAAGAAAAAGAAAAAAAAGCGCTATGCGAACTCAAATGGCCAATACACGCAATCGACATACGTTCGACCGACCGTTAGCTCACCTCGTACCTCCCTATATGCTCGTTACCATTTCAATTTAAATTATATCACCAAATACGTGAACCAACAATAATCGTAACAAATGGTTATTATGCTGATATCGTCTTGTTAATAAACTTCTTTGTTTCCACCTTTCCTACGGTTTTTCCGCGCTTTCGTTTTCTTCTATTACCTCGTCTCCATTTCCGCGAGAATAAATAAACGCTTAAAAATCGGTGTGACCGTCGCAGTTCAAGGTCTTGCCCGCAAACCGTAACGCGACAACGACGTCGCGACGCCGTCCGGGGGTTTTGCGGCGCCATACGAATTCGTAACAATAAATTTTCCAGCGAGATTGCGAGCTGGCCCAACTGACCCCTTTGATCCAGCCGGGTCAATCGAATCGATCGGGCGAAGAATCAGATAGTCTAGTCGGGTTCAAAGGTAAACAAGTAGGAATTGATCCGACGCGAACGAACGTCCTCGTAAAGCGAGCGCGTCTCGTGATCGCACCATAGATCGTCTTATGGATCATTATCGCTCGTTATTGATCCCCGTTAACCGCTGGGTCATCCGCATCACCCTTTCAGTCGCCGTTAATCATTTTCGCGTTACGGTGCTCAATATCCCAATGTCCATCTTCATCCACCAACCTTATACGACACCCTTGCGCAACATCTCCCTCTGTTCCCATCTCAGCAAACGCTATTACGCTCTTACTACCTTTCGTCATGACTATTTTCTTTTGTTTTCTTTAATTCAAGTACAAATTACAGCTCGCTTCACCCTATTGACTTATACGCACGTCTACAGCGCCATCCACTCACGCATCCACGCGCACGTAAACCCACGAGCTTTTGCCGCGTCGACTTGGCACGTATTCGTCTTATGTCGAATTATCATTCTTTTTTGCTCTTTTTTTTTTGTTTTTGTTTTTTTTTTCAATGCCTCTCTATGACACTTCTCCAATGGTAATCGGCACCTAACGTCGTCATGGGATTACGCGCTTAATATATAGACGGAACACATGCCCGGCGTGGGTCATTTTTCCTCGAACGTTCTCACGCACAATTCTATATAATCAATATACTATCAATATACACAATTGTTGTTGTTCTTCCTTATTGATTAGCCCATCGATTCATGCGCTTCTTTCCGGGCCTGAGTGAGCCGATTTTTTTTATTTGCTTTCGTTATTGAATATTAAAAGATGGAATAGGCGTGTCACGCTTTTTTTTTCCTTTTCATTCTTTATTACAAGATCTTCGAGAAAGAGAAATTCGAGAGTGCAAAGATCTCGTGGAAAAAGAAAAGGGAAACGAGAACAAAAGTTTACGCGAAGGATCGTCATCCAATCGGTTTTACGATAAGGAGTACAATCCTTTATCGGCCCGCTCGAGACAAAACGTTATTTAGAAACTCTTAAGAATGATAACTCGATAGTGCGCAAGAGGTGATTTTTGACAAAAGGGTATCGACGAAAGATGATCGATGATGACAGTAACAGTGATAACGAAGTTGACGATGATTACGAATAGCAATGTAACTTTGCTGACGACGACAACGATGACGACGAAGACGACGGTAATAATGACGATAATAATAATAGTAGCAGTGCTGATAATAATAATTGTAATAATAATAATAATAATCGTAATAAGAATAATCGTAGCAGTAGTAATAATAATAAATGACAGTATTACAGTAGCAGTAATAATAATAAGAAGAAGAATCGTAATAATTATAATAATCGCAGCGTTAATAGCAGCAGTGATAGTGATAACAGTAATGAAAATATCCCCACCAAATATGAAAATCCCTAAGGCTCCTTACAGAAGCCCAATCAGGCTACGCTCTTTCTTTTTCTTTTTTTTTTTTTCTTCACATATGTAAAATCGGATAAATCGCAGCTTTGCCTATCGGCAACCGGTAAGCTGCAAGAAAACAGCAAAACGAAACACCAAAGCTATCATCTAACAATCAACCAACCGTTCTTCACGTGTATATGAAGATGATAAAAGAAAGTAGGAAAAAGAATGAGAGTGAAGGTAAAAGCAGATAGCGGAAAGAAAGAAATGTATCCGGATTGAATTCAACAGAGAAAGTAATGCTCGTACAAACTTTCTGCTCATTTACGTGTAACAGTGTATGAATGTACGTGTGTCAAGTGGGTGGGTGGGTGGGTGGGCAAGTAAAGTGATTGAGTGATTG